TGTATCTTGAGTCCTGCCTTGCTGGAGGATATAATTCAAATCACCACCCTTAGCTTCCCTGAGGGTATACCTACGAATCTCCTGGGAAGATTCGCTCTCCTCTTGCTCCGGCTTTGTGTCTTGGATCATCCTCATCTCACCCCTGGATTTGGGACAGCAGCCATCATCTGATCCGCTGATCGAGGTTCATCAAACCCCAAGAGTTGGGAGGATCCTCCAGACCTACTCACGGACCTGGGACTCGCCAGCCTGCCAGCCTGCACCACTACTACGTGAGATGAACCCTTGGGTGTCTGTGAGTTCTGTGAGGCGTTACAGCGAAATACAGAACCCTAAGACTGGGGAAATTACTGGGAGGAGGAGGAGGAGTTAATGTCTGAAATGATGGAGTGGCATGGTACTTTGGACATTTGGGACATCTTTAACCACCGCCGCATGGGGACTGGCCTTGTTCTGATCTTTCTAAGAGAAATTGTTCAAGCAGTTATATTAACTGAAAAAAGTAAACACACAACACAAAAATTATATTATTTGCCTCAAACCAAAATGGGGGTAAAAAAATATATAGTGATGAAAACCACATTATTATTTTGCTTATACATGATTACTGTATGCATGAGGTTGAAAACCAGACATCAGGAGCAACATAACAGGAGCAAGACCATTCTATATGCTTTTGTATCTTACTACATTACATATTAAATTATTAAAAATATAATAAAATTTTAGATATTCAGAATTTACTGATTTTCTTTTAAATAGAATGTTAAAGAGTTACTAAGTTAAAGACACCAAAGGAAACAAGAAACGTACCTTTGTGGCTTCCATTATAATTTTGTTAATTTTCTCTTTATCTAGTCCTTCCATTCCTGCTTTATTATCATTAAGTCCCACTCTAAGCAGAAGATCATCTTTGTAATCATCATTCTTCTCCTTTGTGTTATCCATGGTATTAATTTAAAATGTCTTTTTTTATTATCTGAAAAAGCATGAAAAATTAATACTTTTAAAAACATCCAAAGAGGGGGGAAAACACTTGAAAGTAAAAATGACAGACCAGCAGAAAAAGTAAGAAATGAGAGGAAAAGATTTCAGCCATTGAAAAATACCGAGATTTAAAAATTCACTGTGCCAAGATTATTGTATTTTTGGAGGGAAGAAAGGAATTGACATTTACTGCAGCCACTGGGCCAGGTACTATGCTTGAACTTCACATTGACCCTCATGACACCTCTGAAAGGTAGATATAATTATTCTCAATATAGAGAGAAAAGAAATTTGAGTCTTACAATATGTCTATGAACACAAATTTGCTAGTAAGTGGCAACATCTGTGTTGAAGCCCAGTTCTGACTCCAAAGTTCATGTTTTTCCCAGATTAATTCACTGTATGAGGAATAAATAAAAATAATAACTTTCTCTACTAAGTATATTAAATTCAATAGCATTTATTAACTACTGCATGCAGAACTCTATTCTTGAGGTAGTGAAACATATGAAAAAAATAATGTATTTATTTCCAAGAAATTATTTTATCTTTACAGTGCTATATCACTTTAAGGTTAAGAAAATGCCTTTCACATAGTAATTCTTTAATACCTTTGTGTAATTCTTCACAGTTTATCTCTACATACATTATTAGCTTTTAAAAACCTTTACAACAACCATGTGAAATAGGTTTGGTTATTCTATGTTAAAAACAAAACAACCAACTGGTGTCAAGTTGATTCTGACCCATGGGCACCTCACATGTGTCAGAGCAGATCTGTGTAGAACTGAACTTCCAATCTTTCAGTTAGCAGCTAAGCATGTTAACTGTTACATAACCCAGGGACATTGTCATGTTCAAGCCAAACCCACTGCCATCGAGTCGATTCGGACTCATGGTGACTCTATCGGATAGAGTAAAACTGTCCCATAAGGTTTCCAAGGCTGTAGATCTTTATAGAAGCAGATTGCCTCATCATTCTCCTGTGGAAGAGCTGATGGGTTTGAACCACTAATCTTCTTGTTAGCAGCTGATGCTTTAACCACTACAACACCAGAGCTCCATGTGTTTAAAGATTTAGGGATTTGTATATAAGAGTTTTTGATTGTACTTATTAGAATGTTGTTGGGCTCCATCATATTG